GATTATCATTTATTAATTACCTGTGCCACTGAGCATTCCTGAGCTATATGTTGCCTTTACTATATGCTGCTATGACCATGTATTGTAATTATTGCAGGAGTAAGTCACCACCATTGCCTAATAATTTTCGACTGTACTAAATGCACATGGTATGTTTCTGTGTTTTCATTTTCATGAACATTTATGGAATAAATTGTCTTGGCAGCATTGTGTTGAGAAATGTCAGAAATTACCAAAATTTGGGCATATTTTCTTCTTTCTCATTGTAGTTTATAGTTAGAGGGAGAGTCAGCAATCTCACACAGTTAAAATACATATGATGTACAGATAGTGATTTGAAATAATTCATGTAACACAGGTAGCTTTTTTGTTAGTCTTTCCAGGAGATGCCTGCTAGTAAGTCTTGATGCACAAGAGGGCACACTAAGCATATATAAAATTGGTTTATTTTTCATAATAATGAAATATGTATTACTTTAAGACTCTCTTCTTAAAAATGGACCTCTCCTGATTTATTTAGGGATTTGGTTTAAAGTTGCATGGCCCTCAGACACTCCAGCTTGGGTTATCACCCTGTTGCCGGTGGATGAGTGGATTTGGGTCAGGGCTTGTCTGTTGTATCACCCTCATTCTGTGCCCACATCTGTGCTGCAACTAGCTCAGCATTACAATAAGGTAGGGAGAAAGTGGAGGCAACCTGTATTGGCTTAGTCTCCCAGCCTAACAAAACATATGAACTCAGTGACCTTAGAAAAGTTACTTATCTTCTCTAAGTCTCAATTTTTTCAGTTGCAAAATGTGGACAACATTGTGTCTAGCTTTTAGGATTGTTGTGAGAACATGGGGGAAAAATCACAAAGCCTTGGTTCATACTAAGTGCCCAATAAATATTAACTACTACTATGAATTATTGTTTTTTATTTGGCATCTACTACATTTCAGGTACTTATAAGTCCTTCATATAGGTTCCTTTAATTAATGCCTGTGACAAATTTTTAAGAAAGGTGTTATACCCAATTTTCATCCATTTTTTTTAAAAAACGAATTAATGCACACAAATTACCTAGCAGAATGCTTGCCTCACGGTAAGCACACGGTAGGTGCTATCTGTTATTTTTCTGGAAAAGGACATAGGCACCGAGGATAGGTGGTAACTTTTACAAGTGCACAGAGCCAGCTTGTAGAGGGGCTAAGATTCATACTCAAGTCTACTGGTCTCTGAAGCCTAAGTTCTTACTTCTACGTGTATACTCTCTCGTAAGGAATTAAGAGCCTGCCAAGGCAGAACATTTTGGGGAGGATGTTTGTGTGTAGAAACTTCATTAGAGTGTTAAAGGAAGATACCCATCTACTCAGACCACAAGTGAAATTTTCTTTCCATGGGTCTGAAGTAAAATAGGTCAAAGCAGCTTAGGCATTGGTTTTTCTGGTGGTGTGCAGGGAAAGGAAGAGTGTTAGTTGCAATATACATGTTAGGGGTAAGTAAGACTACAAGCCTCTCCTCCCTTATGCCTCCCCCCACAGAGATTTCTCCCTCCCCCGAACTCTGGCAGTCTTTTTGTCCATACTTGTTTGCTGTTCTCTGTAGACCATTTTGTTTTGTGATTTGTCATGGTCTCTAGCTGTTGCTTTGTTACCCAGGGTAAAGAAAATATCTCATTCTTCTTGGTTTCCCAATTCTTACTACAGTGCCTGACACATAATAGGTGCTTTACCCTTACACATGTTGATAAAGGTGAGGAATTGCTAGACAGTTTGGCAAATTCTTGAAGGCCTCTCTGCCATGGATTATATGCTGGAGTTCTTGATGCTCAATAGTTACTACTAGTGCTCCTGGGTTGTCTTTCCCTGATGTGCCTCAAAAGGTCCAATTCCAGATTGATCCAATAATCCAAAGAAAATAAATTCTGGCAGGCTTTTGTTCCCAGAGGTCTCTTATAAGTAGCTGTCCAGCAAGTTGTTCATAGGGTTTATCACTTCGGGTCAAATCCTCATTCAGGGACGTGTTGAAACCTACACACTGGAGGCTATGCCTGTCCCTCCTGCATGGGAGTGCTTGGCAGGGACCTTCAGTGTCCAGAGCTAGTATACCTTACTGATTGTATAAACAGGCATTTAAAAAAATCTTGGTTTTCACTTAAGGTCATGATTAGAGGAGAGAAAGTTCATAAATTTTCCTTTTTATGTCTGTGAAAAATTATGTGGTGTGAAAAATTGACATTTGGTGAATTATGCCTCCAGTGACACAACATAGTGATCACATATTTGCTCATGTCTCCTTCCAGGGCTATCATGACCCACGCATCAGTGCCTAAGAATGACAGAGATGTCCTTGGAATTAGTGACACACTGATTCGACTCTCTGTGGGCTTAGAGGATGAAGAAGATATACTGGAAGATCTAGATCAAGCTTTGAAGGCAGCAGTAAGTGTGATTATTTTTGTGTGTGTGTGTTTCATCTTGGGGCTGGGATCACTGTATTTATAACAAGTGGTGTCACTGTGAAATCTAAAGGTTTTCTCTTCCTGCAATGGACAGGGTATGTGAATATACAGGGAACTCAGTTGAAGTAAAGATTTAAAGGGTGGTGGTATTCAGAAAAGACTTCCTTACCTTGAGGAGGTAAGGTTTTTGCGTACAGGTTTAATAACCTATTTTTCCTATGCCCTGTTATTACAGCACCCTCTGAGTGGAAGTTGCAACTAGTATTCCAGAACTGCTATTACAAGCTGCTTCCTGAGAAGGTCAAATCTTACGAATCATTTAATGGATGATTAATGAGCTTTCACAAAATTTTGACGTAAAAATGTTAAGACACATCATCACCTTTAAGAACTGTAACATTCTAGGGATCATCCCTGTTAGAAACAGTTTTCTGTATATCTTATAATTGACAAGTCAATTCTGTT